TATTCAAGCTGTGGTCTGATTAGTGGCTTATATAGTTTTAGCAAAACCTCCCTACTTTTATATTCCACACCCTTTGAACTGAAGTCCAGCATTCCATTTGCCTTGCCTATTATCTGCTGAAATAAGATGCCAGCTTTTTGTGATTCATGGACAAGGACTCCCATAAGCTCTGTTCCATTGCTTTCCACAGTCTTTTTCCATTTAAATAAAATTCAGCTCTTCCATTCTTCCTTCTAAGATGCATATCCTCATATTTTTCCATGTAATATTCTACAGCCAAGTCTTTGCCCATGTGCTTACCTTGTCGATATTTCTCTACAGGCTCTGTCACCCTCATCATCTGCCTTCCCAACTATTTGTGTGTCATCTGCATATAAGGCTATAGTACATTCACATTGCTCACCCAAGCCATTAATATATAAATATTTATAGCCCCAGCACTCATCCCTGTGGCACTCAAATAGTCACAGTTTGCCATGCTGAAAATGCCACTCCTTATCCCAACTCTCATTGTGATCACTGTTCCCTAAATAATCCCTTACCAATACTTGAACAAAATAATGTCCCAGAATCAGGTTCAGGAAAGCCTCCTTCTTCAGTGAACTGGGAAAAAAAATGTTCTTAACTGGTCTCACTGACCTAAATATTTGATCCTAAACTGTAAAATGCACCTCTTGTTCCACAAGTTGGTCCTCTTATAGCCAACCTGTGGTAAGTTCGTAGGTTATGGTCAGATGGTAGCAATAGTAAATACTGACAGTTCACTGTCAAAAAAATCCCACAAAATTATTATTGTATCTCAGCGTTATTCAGTTAGCTTGCCATTAAAAGTTTTCATTTTCATTACATTCATGCACACACAGTGGGGTATCAAAGCATGCACGACATGTTCTTTCGCCAGCTGCAAAAAATTCTAGCAAATAGACTAATGACTTTGATTCAGAAATTTAACACAGATTATGACATTTTTTAAGATTATTTCAAAATAGGGAAGTGGACTAGATTTGAATTATGCAGCTTGGGAACTACAAAAAGAGCCGGTCAAAAACACAGGCAAACAACCTGCACTGCTAAAGCAGCTTTAACATCATAACAAAACATCCAAAGGTGCTCAACAGGACTACCACAGATGAAATTTAATGCAAAGTATAAAGTGCACAGGA